CTCCCCCCCCCAGCCTTAGCCCTTAATACGTGTGGTCACGAAAAAAGTCCGAACACACGGTGTACTTACTCTACGTTAGTAGAAGTCTCAACAACGGATTTTGTGGCTACTTTGTATTACCTTCGTGCTGACGCGCGCTTCTCTTTTGATTTGCCTGTATGAGCCGAGTGCGAGTGATTGGTAAAGGGGGGGGCCCAGATAGCATCCTGCTTTTCCACAGCTCAAATGGAGTGTGCCTTGTTTCTGAATGCACCTCAACGTGTCTCGTGTTCTTCAATCACCGTGGCGTCTTGCAGATTTGAGTTTTGGGGGCTTTGGGTTTGGATTTTTTTTTTTTATATCCCCCACCCCCCTTCATTCATCTAGACAGACCCCTTCCTCGCCGACTTAGGGTGCAGCGTTTTGGGAAATCACGCGCTCAACACGAGGCTGGGGGTGCTTTTGAAAGCTTTAGGAGGGTGTCATCTAGGTCACCTCACACCTTCCCACCCCAATTAGGGTCTCATGGTGTGTCTCAGCATAGTGTTATGTCAGGTACCATTAAGAAATACTGTCTCATAAGATTAACAGCAGTTATTGTCTTTAACACTTGGGAGCATTTCATTAAGCTGTATTCTTTTGTTTATCGTCCTCATTTATGTTTCGATAAATGCAGTGGATTTTCATTACTAAGTATAAATCCTTATGTTTAAAATGTTGAGCATTATGTATGGAACCACTGCAACGTGTAATCTATGTATATATTACATGCACAGTAAATATAAAAACTCAGCGGAAAGATTAACCAGTTAAACTTAATTTCTTAGCTTTGTTTTTTCATTATGGTTTGATGCAAAAAGTATTTTATTTTTATATAAATGCCATAATAAAAAATACATTGGATGTGTCATGTGTATAATGGGATAAAAATATGTTTGTAGTATTTGTGTAGTTTCTTTTTCTGGAATAGGTTCACGTTAGCAGCATGCAAGAAATGTGAAAAAATCCTTGATTATTGTCTTAAAAATCTGTTTATATGTTAATGTTGCAAATGTTCTGTACTGCAAACAAGAATCAAAAAAGGTGACAGATTGTTAAATATCAACCTACAGAAAGCTGTGAATTACATCATTTTTGAATGCTTTATTTGACTGTGATCAAACAATAGCATGCACAGCTGCTGTCTGCTCGGCCACTGCTGCAGGGTAATTGCTACATTATTTCTGGCTGCAGTTAAAAGCTGCACCAGTGAAGGAATGCTAAAAGATCTGCAGAAGACGTCAGGGATGTTGGATCAAATGTATGGCCATGTCGTTAAATAGCATTCTTTTTATTTTATGCTCACTTAACACTTCCAGGCTCAGCTGTGTTAACCAATTTCACAGAGTAAATATTGCTTTAGCCACCAGTGCTGTACATGTGCTGTGCATATGCTCGTTGGAGACCTGGATCACCTTCAATTGCACCCACGTGGCTGACAAACCCCCCCGATCCTGACCTGGGAGCAGGTTTAAACACACAAGTGAGTTGTAATGTTATTCAGATTCATATGAGGAAAAAAGAAGTGTGGTCATTCTCTTTCTTGCATCATGTACAGAACAACATCCTGCGAGCTAATAACGGATAGACTTTCTGAACCTCTAAAAGTGTTGATACATCACAGCTCTCTCACAGTAAAAGAGCCAACTGAATTACAGGAAGTGTGCATACAAAAAGCTTGTGATTAAGACCTCTTGTGCTGCTACCTTTCATGGGATTTTAGGATTACCTTGAGCACATAAATCAGCAATAATAAGCGCTTGAATTGGAATCAAAAAGTACTTTTAACCAGCCTCCCACACGGAACTTTCAATGAAAACTGTGATGGGGTTTTTTCGCAGAAACGAACATTTGAATTTGAACAATGAAGTCTATTTTTCTGGGGGGCAAGCTGGAGATTAACTAAGTGCCTCAAAGTGCATTTTTCTCCCCTAAAAAGTAGTTGCCATGAAATCAAAAAAAGGGCAGGTACATAAAAGTGAGTTAATGGTGTCGTATATTACATCATTAATTCAATTTTATGTTTCTGATATGGCATCTGGGACCATTTTCCTCACTCTCACATGCCCATATTACGCCATGCATTTCAACATTTTATTGTTCTTCCCCATGTGTTGATTGTTCATTTTCTGTGAATGCTTAAGAACCTCGTCCTTCCTGCCAGGTTGCCTTTTGTTTTTGGCCTAAACTACAGTAAAATTAATGAGCCTAGAAAGTCGGCATAAAAACCTGCACGCCATGAATTTGAGTCACAAAGTTTTATGTCGAGGAGGAAATAAGCAATCGAGACTGATACTAAAACACAACATTTGTATTTTCAAGGATGTGCAGGTGGGGGAAAAGGGGCTTCATACCAGTGAGTCACTCATGCAATTAATATATGCACTGCAGGGGGGTAGGAAGGAATGTTGAGCCTCAACAGGGACCCCTTTTTTCATTTTGGATAAATTGCATAATCCTAGTGTCATTTTTCAGCGCCACACATTTCACAACAAGTGTTTTTTAATTTGACTGCAAGTCCCAAAAATGAAAAAGCTAATTCTCCCAGGAATCCACAAGTGAACATAAAAACGGCTTCGAGATGCCAAGAGAATAATCATTTTTGTGTGTGAATAAGTGAGGATAAATGGTGCAGGTGAATGAGTTCACGCCTGAGGAAGCTGGGATGCAGCCATGGTGATTTGGCTGGACGAAGACATCTGGCCTTCCCACAAACTTTTGGGCTCCTCTGGTAACTCAGGAGCACTTCAGCTGCATGACAGCAAGAAATCTGTTGTTTTGGAGTCATCTAAACCCTGTCAGTGGGCCTCCGCCTCTAAAGCTGCAGTCACGCAGTCAGGCCAGTGGGATGCCAAACTGTGGGCCGCCGGATAGCACGGGGTCCTCTGCAAAAATGGGAATGATTCGATTATGGGATTGCACTCCGTGTAGTTTTAAGCATATAAAGACAAGAATTTAGCAGATAAAAAGGGCCAGTCCACTCATTTTATACATCAAAATCGTGTGTGTGTGCGCGTGTGTGTTTGTGTGTGTATATCCATCCAGCCAATTGATATTAGAGAGTACATGTATTAGAAACACATTGTGAAAATGAAGTTATAGTGGAGAGGTGCATAACAAAGCCCAATATGCTCATAACATAACATGTTAAGAAGAAATGGCACAATATTTGTTAGGATTGGTCTAAAGCTTTGAAATCTGGTATATATATATAGGCTATGTGTATATATACCTTTTGGCAAATATCTAACAGTATAACTTTGCCAGTTTTGGCTCACAAGGAATGTCATACTTTAGTGATAGTCAAGAGCCAGCATCTTTGAAGATAAAACCATTTTAGGAATTTATTTAAGCTGCATATGTGGCCAAAGCTTTGATATTCCACTTTTTACGAGCTTAAGACTTGACTGTGCTCCTTGTTATTTCTGAGTAAGACATTTTTCTTATGGTATATTTAGTCTGGGCACATGGGGCTACAGTATGCCAACCAAAAACTAAATCAAGAAATTCTTCAGATTTGTGCTTTATGCAGCAAAAATCCTGGAAGTTCAACAATATAGTAACATAAAACCTTACCAATGTTACAATTCTAAGGAATCAATTAAAGAAGAATGAATAATATATTGAAAGATGTTAAACTGACATGGCTGTCTAGTTATTGTTGAGTATGTAGCCTACTATAGTCCTCATCAATACTTTCCAAAACAGCTATTTTAGTTGAAAAAAATTGTAATAATTACTTTAAGGAGGGCCTATTTGTGTATCTATTTAATTCCTATACTCTCCCTGAGTTTAAACCGTGACACTTGCATAGCATCATCCTTTTATGAACCGTATAATAGGAGAGTGTTTTGTGGGGA